TTACATGCATCAATCCAAAATATTTTTAACAACATTATATCAACTATTTTATTAATTTTCATTTTGTGGTTGGAACTCAAAAACCTCATTTTTATTTCAGTAGGATAAATTCTTGCATTTAGAGTAAGTACTAATAGTTCTGTTGCAGTATAGTAGATCACTTCCGCATGGGTTCGACCCTAAACTCTATCACTTTATTACTTGATTAGGCATGTATACTTGCATAAATTAGTGCGCTATTTATAATTTTCATACCAAAGAAAACCTAAGCATATTTTAAATCGGTGAGTTTCATATTAGCTCGCCATTATCTTATCATCATGCCTAGCAACCAATGCCCCCATCAATCATATAGTATGATTAGTATAATTCTTCCTTTAGTAATATACGATGGATGCTTCCCTATACTGTTAGTTTTAGAATATTCAACTGATCGTCGAATATGATATTAGGGTCGTACAGTAAAATTAGTTCAATCAAATAAAAGTTCATCCTGGATAAACCTCAGGCAATTAATTATTGTCCAGGTAGTTGCTCGATTTGTAGAGCATGAAGATTACTTTGTATAGTGGATCACTAATCACAATTAAGTTCTAATTCAATTGTTTAATCTTATTGAGTTAATTAGGCAAATTTTCAAATATCATATGGTATGATTGATGTCATACCATACGAATAGAATGAATTTCAAATTTTAAAATATTGCCTAATTATAGATGGTGATGGGAGTTTCTAATTATAAATTTATCATCCTGTACGATTCAAATCATATAGTGCAATTAATTCATCTTAATTTCAATTTTATTTTCTTAGTTTAAATATTTTTAATTAATTTTTGAATGATCTGATCGTATAGTACAATGTTGATCGTCTAGTATAATTTTCAGAAAGAATTAAAACCTTATGTTTCACTCCCCCGTGTACGTGTGCATGATTGTTATGCTAGCATACATTAATTACAATACAAAGACTCAAGAAAGATAAGAATATAGACTCTTGGATACATCAGCATATTCTACCTAGTCTTTAGCACTGATCCTTTGGTGGTGCTTGATTAAATATTAGTACATATAAAAAATATATATGCAACAATAGAAAATTGGAAAATCCAATAAAAACCAACAATATTTGTTATTATCAAAATATATACTCAAGCTCAACATAGGCATGATTAAAATGTCTGATCCCTTTTAGGCCAAGTTCCCTGAGTGTAAGATGAATGGTTTACGAATATGTAGAGAATTTATGCTCAATCATTAATTGAGAGAATATAAATCTATGCTAAATTAGCCTTAAGATTCAAATTGTAATTTCCTTTAGCTGCTCGATAAAGGATAAGAAAGATGTTCTTACAAGATAGATTACTTTTCTTTCATTATGGGGGATCTAGCACTCATTGTGGTCTTGAGTGCCTTGGGGCCTTGACACGCCATAAGGAGTAGTCCAATCCTTTCTTTTTCTTCTTCCCTAATATTTAAAGATATTAAAATATGACAAGTTTGGAATGAGGGGCAAACTTAGCTAGAAGTGCTCTAATATATTAAGAGATTAAATCTTAGTGAGGTCAAAATGTTGGAAAGACTCTCTAAGAAGTGCTCTAATATTTAAAAGATTTAAATTTGCTGAGTTCAGAATGAGTGCACCTAGAAGTGCTCTAGTAGTTAAGAGATTAAAATATGGCGAGTTCGGAATGAGGGGCTAACTCGGCTAGAAGTGCTCTAGTATTTAAGAGATTAAAATATAGCGAGTTTGGAATGAGGGAAACCCCGATTGGAAATGCTCTTCCCTAATATTTGAAGATGTAATCTACTATTAGTCGTATGACGAAGGATAAGGAGAAGAGCTCGCTTGAAAGATGACTTTCCTTCACGTTAGGGACTCTGGCGCACATCCAGGTCTTAAGTTCCTGAGGGCCTCAACACACCTCAGAGAGTAGAAATTTGTGCATGACATCAACTAAAGCACAAGTTTTTTACTAAAATTTAAGATAATTAAAATGAACATGATTTTTACTTAACAAGAAACTTTCGAACAAAAACGGCAATTATTTTAGATCTAGGAGAGCACAAGTATTGAAAATTTTTCTCTTAAAATTTTGAGAATTTTTATAAATTATTCATAATATAAAATGCAATTAATTAATAATTTTATAATCTTTAATAAATAAAAAAGGAAAAATATTTAATTTAAATATATAAATATTATTAGTATAAATATTTCACATTTTAAGAAATATTTTGAATTTTTTGGACATAAATTAATTTTTTTCTTTATTGCAAAATTTTCCTAAAATGTTTGCTTTGATTAATGTTCGGACTTCATGGAATGTTATAATTATAATTATGGATATTTTATTTAGTTCATGAGCCTTAGAAGATGTCCATGTTGACATCCAAGGAAAAGTCTTTCTTTGTAATTTTTTAAATTATAATTTCACATCACAAATATTTTAAAGGTCGTACACACATATTTTTGGAATGTGAGGGCTTAAACATTTGAAAATAGGGGAAAACTTGTATGTCACTTAAAATTGCCTTAACTTTGCATGAATCTTGAGGCATATTCGAATTAAAAGCTTCTTATTTAAATTTGGGACTATCTGAACTCCACTTTCTGTAAACTTATAACCAAATTGAATGTTTCAATGAGTTGAAACCAACGATGCCAAAATATATCCAATATGATCTCAATGGGCTCAAATCAAGGGCTTGAAGCACATTAAAAGCTTCGGGACATTAAATGGAAAATCAAATTATCTCCAATATTTGCATGTTTATAGTCGAATGGAGCGGCATGACAAGAAAAATCCAATAAGCCTAAGATTGCATTATTCCAACACCATTTAGGCACATAAATATTGAAGAAATTGTTTATATTTAATGGAATCAATACATGGTGTATGATAGAGTGCCACGAATTTTGCTCCAGATTTTCTCTATATTTATAGAACGTGACACTCACAAAAATTTATAAATAGGGCCCAACTACTTGCATGAAAGGAAGGCTTGGACCTAGAGATTCAAAAGAGCTTTGAGGTTTGAAGAATCCCATAGCCCCACCCGAGCACCACCATCGAAGAACCGTCACAGCTCGATCGTAGCCACCAAACTTTCACCCACAAATTACTATCGAAAGTCCATCTAATTATCATCGTTGGACCTCAACCTTGTCACTACGTCACCCTGCCATCATCATTACCCATCCATTTGGACATTGCTGCCAACTCGCTCCCTAGCTAGTACTAATAGATTTTTCATCTCCTGGTCACTTGTATTGGATTTTCTATCGACCATGGTTTTCAAACCCCTATCACTCGACTATGGAACTTGAACCACCATCGATCGACTACGGCCCTCGGACTACTATTGCCCGACTACGATCCTTCCAACTTCGGTTACCCACCTACTGCGGACCTAAAATTACCGTCACCCGACTTCAATCCTCAAACAATCGTTGCTAAACTATGGTCCTTCTTACTATCATCATTGAGCTATGGTCCATTCGACTATCATTGCCAACTACAATATTTCTTCCCTCGATCGCCCTGTTGACTATGGTCCTCAGACCACCATAACCCGACTATGATCATCGAACCCTCACCACTCAACTACGATCCTTTTGTCCTCTATCACCCACCTAATATGGTCCTTGAAAAACCGTAGCCTGACTACCATCTCTTTGACCACCGTTACCCAACTATAGTCCCTCCGACCTCCCTCACCTAGCTACTGTCCTTCGTCCACTGTTGTCTAATTATAGTCCTCTGAACATTGTCACCTAACTACAATCTATCTGACCACCAACATTCGACTATGATCTTTTTAACCACTATTAGCCAAATTACAATCCCTCTACCCACCGAAGCCCGACTATGTCCCTCAGACTATCATCACCCAACGACGATCGATTCAACCACCATCACCTGACAATAATCCTGCCAACCAAGCAAATATACCAACAATGTCTTAAGAACAACCCTCATGCAATTGGATTCTTTCAAATCCAACCATGTAATGTATTTTATATGTGATATATATTTTCTACATTTTCTACATTGTGCCACCGCCTTCCCCTAAGGAGAGACATCATTTGTAATTAACGACAAATATTTATGAAATTATTTCAACAGAGCGAGACCTATGATTTTTCCCATTTTTAGAACTTCTCATGTAAAAAATATTATATCATTGCACCCCTCTCTTTTATCTATATGTTTGTTGGATCTTTATACAAACTAGAACATTAAAATCTCTATTTCTCAAGCATCATGAATGTTCCAACATGCAACAAGCATAAATATACATCACTACTAAATAGGCTCAATGAAAACCAATAAAAACATCCCTTCATTTTTATATTGATAAACTCTTAAGATAAATAATATATTTTGACAAATAACTCAAGATAATGAAATACCAAAGCCAATAACTTCAAAAAATTTGAATCTTTTCAAATAAATTATACAATAATATGGCAATGAAAAATCACGATCAAAAGCCATCAACTTTCTGCATACATTAATGTAAGCCAAAAGAGTTGTTCAAGCAACCACTTGAGTATGGTCAATGTCCCAGCGCCTATCTCGAGCATTTCCGAAGAGGCCAAATGTCGAATAGAAAAAGTTCACCGACCAGCAAATTCACCTCGAGTCGAACACTACAGCTAATTCACAGATCTCTCTTAATATCAAATTCGTGAGTGTGTGCTATACATCAGAATATGTATAATTATTGCATTGCTATTATGATCCCAAAAATTTATATTTGAAATTATATGAATATTTGATACCATTTGAGATCGCATGCACTCAATTACAAGGAAATGCCGTAATTTATTTTGTTATATGAAGTATGACATTACTCCCTAAACAGTTTGTCAGACCATTGTTCACTTCAAATTTGAAACATAACACCCTGTGCCTTTGAATGTTCCATCTGGATTAGTTCACAATCTGTGAACACACAGGTGGCAGTTATAGAAAAGATATTGCAAGGTGCTACTCTATCAAGAAGGAACATATCTTCTTCCATTGCCAAATTATTTCTTATACAACTTCCACATGTAGAAATACAAACATGAAGAAATAAGCGTGAAGTGTGATCCTCAGCAGCCTCCAGAGCTGCGCTCACACATGAAAACATGCCTTGCTCTAGGAGCTGGTGAGCATGACAGAAACTCTAACAAATATCACACATCCAGCGTTCAGGATGTAGATATAAAAAAAATGGAGTTACAGAACGCTAATGTTCAAGTTGAGGAACTCTGATCGACCACAACATGAAGCAGATTGGGATCATCAGTGATGGTTTCTGTACCTTCTGAAACAACGACTGGAGGCACACCACTGTCCACCACGCTGGCACCATGATCAACTGCCCTTCCACCACCAACAGAACCCTCAGCGCCTACAGGGCGCAGCAGTCCTTGCAATCGGAGCAGATAGCTCTGACCAGCAGGCTGTGATGCTCTTACAAAGCGAGTAGCTGCTATCAACTCCTCGCTAGCTGATGGTCTTTCCGATTCAGAACGAAGGTTTGAGAGGGCACTCAAGTCCAAATTGGGGAAAACTGAGCATCTACACCTAGGGCACCTCACATTTAGCCTTAACCATTGGTCAATACATTCCACATGGAAGTTGTGGGCGCATGGGAGTCCCCGTACCTGCAAGGAAAAGGTCAAAAAGAGTTTTTACAGCATCGGCTTTTCCACTTTAGCTGTAATAACGGGGATAAAGTTTTGCTTATGCGGTACTTACGATAATGAAGTTTTTGTCTCAGTTATAGAGCGATTGTTCATATAACTCCACAGACTCATTAAAAAGATCACACTTACATTGGTCAAGTTGTAGGTAAAGATAAAAAGTTAGGGATGCACATCAATCATGATCCATAAACACAGTTGATGGCGATGATCAATTCTGTTGTGAAGCCCACCAATGATCCACTTTAGCAAAAATCACACTAGCGCAGGAAATGTTATTACTTATTAATTTTTAACAGTTTTCTAGCACTACAATGCTCTGAAGGTATTACCGCCCTCCTTTGTCACCACCAAGGGTTACTTTGTTTGCAATACATAAAGTTTTTTTAACCCGCATAATGTTATAGACCACTTCCGTGATAAAAAATCTTTTACAGAAATGGAACAGTTTATCACAATCGATGTTAGTTTAACGCATAAACTGCACAATCCTTTTATTCAAAAAAAATAAAAAAATCAAATTAAATGAGCATATACTACATAAGACGACTTAGGTTGATCACCAATGCATACAATTCATACGATAAATAAATTAATGCGTACGATCCACTGATGTGAAGACCCTTACAAGCCATTCATAAAATAGTGATGGTGCAGCAAAAGATGCATATGAATATCGTGCAAATATCCTTTACAAAGCCAATGAATGCGTAAGACTTGGCTCATCCGCATCAAATACTAAATGCGAACAAATAAATAACTTCGCAGGAATCATTTTAGAGAGACCTTACCTCACTCCCCAACCGAAATTCTTCAAGGCAGATAGGGCATTCGCTGCAATCTGTCGGAACTGCCTTAAGCCTGAACTTTGGAAGTTCCTGAATAAGTGCCTCAACAGCCTCTCTCTATTAAAAATGCAAATGGCAGAGTTAGGCCCCTACTAGATGAACGTCATCAATCAATCAATAGCAGCAGTGAAAAGAATAACACTGAGACGTAAAAAAATCACTTTTATGAACATACTGCTTTTTGACATCAAGGGTATGTTGTCGTAGGTGAGTGGTCTTTTCAGGGAACACAATGGCCGAAACATACAGTAACAAAAACATATATTTGAGGCTTTCAAATGCACATGTATTAGGAAGCAGGTAATATATGAAGGTTAAAACACAAAACGAAAAAAAGAAAGCCATCTGAGCCTTTATTGAACAAATTCAGATATCTACAGAATAAATCAATGTATTTCTGGTTAGCTTATAATGCATGCTTTACAGGGGCTACCTGTGTCCTTGAGTTTTCATGGTCAATAAGAGGAAAAAAAAAACAACATAAACGATAGAAAAGGATATTATTTCCACCGGAGATATAGAAAATGGGAGAAAACAAAGAGAAAGCTCGTTAGTTAGAATTTTGTGTGAAAGTAGGTAGGTACATATCAGGTTAGAAAAAAATTAGCAGCACAAATCATATGAAAGACCATATTTCATGAATTGGTGAGGAAAGGCATGAATTAGTTAGCTATAAATAATAGCAAATACCTGGGCAGCTGTTAAATAAAGTCCTGGGTGATATGTGGTTTCTTGGCTCATTCCTCTCAGTTCCTGTCCAGCAGCTTCAAAAGCCCAACCAGGCACACGAATCATGTCAACAAGAACCTAAATCATGAATACAAGCAATAAAAAAATTTTAATGTTAAAAAAACACTCAGACCTTGAATGCAACTACTTTAGTGATACTGAACAGCAGCCACGATACAGACTACAGTTTTACAAGGTTAAAGAGCAAACGAAACAGCATGGATCAATTAATCCAGCCAACAAGGCATAGAAATCATATGGAAACCAATCTATGTCATGACGTGCTAACATTCAGCACTCTCACTATGTCTCCCACTCCCTCTAGGTCTGCGAATTTGAAGGCATCTAATGTGTCCCACCTAAACCATCTGACACCCACTCCCTCCATCTTTTCCATGGATCGTGATTTACACCGGTAGCGAATCCTTCCAGGAAAAAAGTTACCATCTAAATTGCATGCTTCTTGCAAATCTTTTTTCAAAAGCTTTAGCAAGAATGCTTCATCTCCACCAATTAATATCAAATTCTCTCCTTCAGAGTTAATGCTTTCTTCTTGAAAGATGATGACTGCCACTGATACTTAGCAAAACCATCTGAATTCACTCTAGTGGGGAAATCTCAATTAAAATTGTCCCAGCTCGAGGATATGAAACATTCTTTTTGCACTATATGTTTAGTTGGTTTTTTCAAACTTGGCTTGCTGGATTTTTTCCATATTCTAATTGGATGAAGAAAACATGCCCATTTTAACTGAAAGATCTTATCATGTTAATTCATTCTAACTTTGATTGCTCAAACGGGCACCATAGTTTAATGTCAAGAAACAATCCCCAATCTTTCTTACCAGTATTTCTTTTCCAAGAATCAGAATTAACAAAATCAATTATGTTATCCCATATTCTTTAAGATTGGTCTTTGGATAAACCCTTAAAGTAGATGCTGCGACTGCTGCTTTACAAAAAACATCAACTGCTAGGCTTCTTGTAGATGATGTTGCGGACCTTTTTTAGAAAAAAAAGTTTGGATAGTTATAGTTATTAATTTTAACGTATATTGGCAAAAAGTCGTAATCAAAGGTCTTCCCATTTATTTCCATCATTGCAAAATGAATAGTCATGACACATATAATTACTTTAGGGTTCATTTGGGATGATTGCAGCAATCTGTAAGAATAATTATAGAATTCTTGAGAGAAAAATATTTTTTAGGTGGTTGTGGGTTTATAGACTTTTCCTTCAAAAATAAGTTTTCTTCCAGCTACCACGCTCGAGCAATTTATTTTTTAAAAGTTTTTTCTCATAAATAAATTCTAAAATAATAGCAAGAAAATTGAAGTCAAATAGAATGGTGAGTTGGTGACAACTTTTGGAAAAACAAAACTATAAAAAAATTTCCTGAAAAGGAGATTCTTATTCTTTATTATGTACTCGAAAAAACTTGATAAAAAAAATGAATATAATGATTAAAAAATGTTAAAAATGGTAAGTTAAACCCATCAATCCCGCTACATGATGAGATTGAACCCAGTTGAATATATAATTGAAAGGATAAAGGAATCTAGGAATGGTGATTTTGTGGGTTCTCGGTCATTCAACACACCCCCCTAAAACCAAATGATATAAATATATCATTCCAGCGCGCGGCGGCGCGGGAGGAGGTAGAGTCTAAAATTGTCGTTGCCAGGTCTCAAGTCCTGAATGAGAAAAAATGGAAGGTTGAATTAAACAGACAACAACCACCACAAAACTTGTCAACTAATCATGACATGAATCCATTATTACATTGTGTTAATGCTAGGACATTTCCTATAAGGATTTAATTCAAGTGAAGTGCATTAAGGATGAAGATCAAGTGAAGAGGTTTGATGGAAAAGTATAAAGATAATAAGGAGAATCTACATATGATACTTATTGATTTAGATAAAGCATATGATAAAGTTTCAAAAAAGTGCTCTAGAGAGTTCTAAAAAAGGAGTTAATAATATTTATATTCAAGTCATGAACGTGTTACGCTGGCCCAGAAGGGGCCGGCTGGACTGGTCGGGTTCTACACCCGGCGGCCCAATGCCAGGCGTTAAACACTTTGTTTGGAAGAAATTTTGAATTAGAAGTGTGTTTAAGGAATTTGTATCCTTTCATTAGCCATAATTAGGGAGTAATTAGAGAATTAGGTTTTTATCTTGAATTTGAATTGTAATTTGAGATCTAGGGTTCTTTGCTTTGGGCTCTTGGCGTTGCTAGAGATTTGAAGAGTTGTTCTTCAACTTGGATTGAAGAGCAATTGTATTTTTGCTATTTTACTTCATCGTCTAGCGGAATACAAGTCTCTACTTGAGTTTCCTCTCAGTTTTTCTTGCGGATTTTCTGTTTTCCTGCTGTGGACAACAGTTTTGCTATTGTTTGCTTATCGATTTGGGTTAGGATTGCTTGCAAACTCAAGTATTACCTTAGGGTTACTTTTGAACTCAAGTAATTCCTATCAAATTGGTATTAGAGCATCGATTTGGGACCGTCGGCGGCTGAAATCCTGAAATTTCAGCGGGATATTTTTTATTTTTTGCCGAAAGAAGATCTTCGTGATTCTTGGGAAGTTAGATGGCCGGGAAGAAGGAAGAGGACTTGGAAGGCAATATCGGTCAACTAAAATCAGATTTGGAGGGAAAGTTCTTTGACTTTCAAACTCAAATCACCTCCAACAATGAAAGAATATAAGGGAAATTCGCGGTTGTGGATGAAATGTTGAAGAAAATGTTGGAGTTGAAGACAAATCATACGACATCGGAAGCAAGAGAGACCACCGGAGACCATGGTGTAGGGGGAAATCCAAACCCGTTTAGGGGGAGGAGAAATCCGGAAGTGGAGGTCATTGAGGGGGAGGACGACATGCCACCTATAGAGCCACTTTATAGAGAGGAGATGAGTTTGGGAAATGACCGAAGAGGTGCTGATTTCATTGGGAGAAGGGAAGAATTTCATCGTCGGGGTGCTGATTTTGAGGGGAGAAGAGGGGAATATGATGAAGGGTTCGGGTATAATCACTGGAGGGAATATCGTGACAGTTGGGAAACACCTCCTCTTCGAGGAAAGGGAGGTTATGGAGGATTTAGGGGACACGGGGGAGACCCACGGGTGAGGAAGTTAAAGATGTCCATCTTTGAGGGTGAAAATAGACATGGCTGGATCTACAAGGTGGAGCGTTACTTCGCTGTCAATGGGTTGACAGAGGAAGAGAAGCTGACAGCGAAAGGAATGTGTTTGGAAGGAAATGCCTTGGCCTAGTATCAATGGCGTGACAGGAGGGAGCCCATACGGAGCTGGAAAGAGTTCAAAGATTGCTTATTGGAGCATTTTCGAGCCGATGGGGGAGGAGACTTCTATGAGCAATTCTTTGCTTTGACTCAGGAGGGGACTGTGGCAGACTACCGAGACAAGTTCGAGTACTTGGCTAACAGATTGAATCACATTTCAGAGTTAGCCCTAGAAGGGAAATTCATGAAGGGGCTAAAACCGGAGATACGAACAACAGTCAGAGTGCTGGAGCCGAGGAACTTAGGGAATGCTATGGAGCTGGCGCAGTTGGTGGAAGATAAGAAGAAATCAGAAAGAGGAGCTCGAGGGAACTATTCAGGGGGATCATACAAGATGACTACCACATTCTTACCATCAAAAGGGGCGGTGCCAGAAGGTCTGAAGGAAGCACCAAAGGAGAAAACTGAAGGGGGGAAGGGGGGACAATTCAAAAAGTTGACAGAGAAGGAGATGCAAGATAAGAGGGCAAAGGGGTTGTACTTCAGATGTGATGAGAAGTACATGCCGAGGCATAGGTGCAAGGACCGAACTCTTCAAGTTCTCCTTGTCTGTGAAGAACAGGAAGACGATGGAGGTGGGAGCAGATCTGAAGAGCAGGAGGAGGAGAAGTTGCAGCTGGATGTGACAGAAGTCTCTCTAAACTTTATAGTGGGATTCACTCCGAGTCACTCTATGAAAGTGAAAGGCGAGTTAGATGACCGCGAGGTGGTGGTGTTGATTGACAGTGGGGCAACCCACAATTTCATCTCCACCCAGATCATTGAGTTGTTGGGGATGGAGTTAGTGGATATAGGGCTATGGGGTGATGATGGGCACGGGAAAGGTGAAAATGGGCAGATGAGTTTGTAGAGGGGTAGTGCTGAAGATTCAGGGGCTCCAGGTGAGGGAGGACTTCTCTTGAAATTGGGAAGTACTGATGTTATCCTGGGGATGACGTGGTTGCAGATATTGGGGGAGACCAAGATCAATTGGGGTACACTGAGGATGGAGCTGGTGATGGGGGAAAGGATGATGATTCAGGGTGATGTTGGGCTGACCAAGGCTGAGGTTTCTATCAAATCTCTAATCATAACCATTTAGGAGGAGGGAGGAGGCTACTTGGTGGAGTGACACCGCTTGGAAAGGATCAGACTAGAGGAAGAAGGCAATGTTCCGTCTTCAGTGCAGCCGCTCATAGACCAATTTAGCGAGGTTTTCAACCTCCCTAATGTTTACCTCCTCAGAGGGAGTTGGAGCACGTCATTACTTTGAAAGAAGGAGAGACACCGATCAGTGTCTGCCCTTACCATTACCCACAGATTCAGAAAGATGAGATTGAGAAGCTGATTCGAGAAATGCTGGAGGCGGGGATTATCAGACATAGAGTTAGCCCTTTTTCTAGTCCAGTTCTCCTGGTCAAGAAGAATGATGGGAGTTGGAGATTTTATGTAGATTATAGAGATTTGAATAGGGGCACTGCACCAGACAAGTTCTCAATTCTGGTGATTGATGAGCTCTTGGATGAGTTATATGGGGTAGTGATGTTTTCCAAGTTGGACTTAAAATCCGAATACCACCAGATAAGAATGAGGGAGGCCGACGTTCCAAAAACATCATTCAGGACAGATGAGGGGCATTATAAATTTTTGGTAATGCCCTTTGGATTGACTAACGTTCCTATAACTTTTCAATCTTTGATGAACAGGGTATTCAAGCAAGACCTCAAGAAGTTTGTCCTAATCTTTTTTTATAACATCCTGGTGTACAACAAGACCATGGAGCACTTAGAAC